AGATGGAGCAAATGGACTAGATCCTTAGAGAGCAATAACTGAATCAGGTCTCTCTTTCCTTGTTATTTCTAAATGCTGCTCAAAAAAAAGGAAAGTAAATAAGTCTGCTGTTTTATCCTGTATCTGTTCAACTTAGTTAGAATGTGAATAATTCCTCTTGTCGACAGTCTGTTTCTGTTCTGCGTATTGTATGTGTTTGGGAAAAAAAAAGCTTCAATAAACAAAGTAAAAAAATAAATAAAAAGAAAATCCAATGACCAAAAGATACACTGACCACAGAMCCACCTGGAATGGCAATTTTCCCCCTCTAGAGGGCGTACCCCCACACTTCGGGAACCACTGCCTAAATCACTCAATCATCTATTATGATACTAGTATATACAGTAAAAATAGGTAAATATGTAAAAAAATCACCTTTGAAGGCTACAATGTGGTCCAGGGTGTTGGTAAACTCGAGGAGAACTTTAGGGTAGCCAGGATGCAGCATGTAAGAGCGTCGATCAGTCAATGATGATTCCTGAAATGTTTTTAAAGAYGTCCAAAAACAGTTCGTGAAATTCTGAGTCACCAGTAAATATATTTTTTTTTCCATGTGTAAGCAGTGTCCTTACAGATGAGTTGGACTCTGGTGGCATCAAGCCCCAAAACATGAAGACTGAGTAGGAGCTGATGGTGTAAACGGAGGCTGGCCTTGGAGAGTTGGCACTGGCAAGAAGTTTGAGCTCCCACAGCACACCGCCAGACTTCCCATCCAGGATTATTATCTACACACAGGAATGTTTGGTTGAAAGAGAAATCAGAAACTCAGGGTAGAGAAAATAAACACGAGCTGACTGCAAATAACTGACCTTCTTTTTGTAGCTGCCTATGTCCTCTTCAATCACAACATCCAGGATATCATCGGTGTTAAAGTGACCAAAGGAAGGCATGCTGAAAGAAAAACCAGGAAGCAAATGTTTTTCAAACTTAAACTTCATAATAGAAACTTTATTTATTGTACTGTCTGAAAAACTACCTGGACTGCAGTGAAATTCAAATAATCATTAAATAAAAAAGAGAAGTTACCCAAGAATTGAGCTAGTGTTGAATCTCCACCGTAGCTGTAACTTCTTTCCATCCACCAAAGCCACCTCATTCGCAGAAACGACCACCAGGTCAGATGAAAAATCTGTAGCTTTAGTCCTGAGCAAACTCATAGCGTCAGACCTACAAAGTAATATCAAATATTAGTTAAAAAAATTAAAAATACATGGATTTTAATTTTAAAAGTCACGTCGTGAACAAGCAAGGTGTTTCTTACTCATGAATGGGAACAAGGCCAGTTGCAGCATCGGCTTTTTTCTCCAGGCTTTTGTCTTTCTTAAGGTCAGGAGTCAGTCCTGCTTTAGCCTTGGCTAYAATCCTCCACAGTGCTAGTCCATACACACCTGTGTCTGTGAGGGAATTTACTACCATCAGTGGTCACATAATCATAATTAATAACTAATAGTATGATCTCACTGAACTCCTCTCTATCCTCTTCCTCATCGATTTAAGTGCCGCCTTTGATACCATCTCACACACCATCCTCATTGACAGTCTATCATGTATTGGTATTTCACACACACACACCTTAAATGGTTTATTTCATACGTTTCTGGCCATACACAGTTTGTTAAATTAAAATMATTTTCCTCATATCCATCCCCTTTCTGTTCTGGTGTTCCACAAGATTCTGTCCTCGGCCCTCTCCTTTTTATCATCATCTACCTCCTTCCACTTGGCAACATCTTTCGAAAACATAATATGCAATTCCACTGTTACGCAGATGACGCTCAGTTCTAGATGTCCACCACCCTCCCACCCACCTCGCTCACTGACTGCCTTTATGATATGGTCCTGGTTTACCAGCATCTTACTAAAATTAACTGTGACAAAATGGAACTTCTTCTCATTGGTACTAAATCCACCTTTGCAAAAACCAACAACTTTTCCATTCTCATTGACAGCACCTCATTTCCCCCAAGAAACCTACCCTCACTCTGGATGGAATTAATTTAAAATCCTGTAATAACGTGAAGAACCTTGGGTTTATTTTGATCAGGATATGTCAAAAGTGTTATTAAGACCATTTTAGCCCGCCTGCACATGGTAGAGTAGGAGGCAGAGGTTTCCGTTATCAGGGTCCTCTCTTATGGTTGTTCTCCTCACAGTTCACTGCTTTCCCTGAAAATATAAACTACCCAGTTATTGTTGTCACACACGATTTCACATACAAACCTTTTTGAAGCAGTACATAGTGAGAACCCTGCTCACTGAGATGGATAAGATGACTTGCTGATWCAAAGGAATCAAGAACCACAGTCGAACCGATTTGGGTGCCTGTCTTCCCTGAGAGCAAAATAAGCTGAGTCTGCAGATCAGAAAAATGTTTTGCCGCATTACTAGATAATTTGACTGGTATTGCTTATAATTTAAATATATTTTCATTTCTATAGGGAAAAAATTCTACACAAATGTATAGTAAATCATAAACATAYCCAACACTTTTGGTGTATTGGAACATAAATAAGCATGGTGTAAAAAAAGGGGCAATGGAACATGTGGATATTAACTTAATAAATACAATCACCTGTGTGTTKTCTGATGCCACCAGTACCACATCAGCAGTCTTGTCACCGTCCAGATCTGGGCCATTGAGAACGGGCAAAGAGCTCTGCAGCCCGGTAGGCTGAGGCTGCTGCCAAACCACATCACCTGACAAACGCATCAGTCAAAAACAGAGCTGTCAGTTTGACAGGCTTTAAAAACAACTTACCTCAGTGTATTCAGACAAATTTCTGAGCAACGTTATCAATCAGCTGAGTGCACAAGTAGGCAGAAGGCTTTGTTTGCCTGTTTAACAAAATTAAACTTCTAAGCCGAGAGGAGAAAGTTGTYAATCCCCGTGTGGATACCCACAAATTTTCTTAAGAAAGTCCAGCCAATCATAGCATCTGATCTGATTCAAATAATAAATTCATTCCTCTCATCAGGAATTTTCCCCCAAGCTTTAAAAACAGCAGTCATCAAACCATTGATAAAAAAGAACAATCTAGACAAATTACTACTGCAGAATTACAGGCCAATCTCCAACCTTTTCATCAGCAAAATAATTGAAAAAGCCGTGTTTCAACAGTTAAATAGCTTCCTAACAATAACCAACCACTTTGATGTCTTTCAGTCTGGTCTCTGTGCTCACCACAGTACTGAGACTGCCCTCGTCAAAGTGTCAAATGACATCCATATTAATGCAGACTGCTGGTTCTGCTGGAACTCGGTGCAGCACTTTATATCGTTGATCATGACTTATTACTGAAACGACTGGCGAGTTTGGTAGAAATCTCCGGTCCAGTACTCAACTGGTTTGAATCTTACATAAAGAACAGGGATTTCTTTGTTTCTATAGGTAACTTCTCATTGAAGTGGACAGAAGTCACATGTGGGGTACCCCAAGGTTCAATCCTAGGACCCCTCTTATTTAATATCTATATGCTCCTACTAGCTCAGGTTATAACAGGAAATAAGATTAGCTACAATAACTACATAGATGATACAGAGCTCTACATGACGATGTCACCAGGTGACTCTGAACCTATCCAATCACTAGGGCTGCCACGATTAATCGATTAATCAACGACTAATCGATTATTAAAATAATCGATGACTAATTTAATAATCGATTAATCGTTTTCGTTTTTTTTTTTGTTTTTTACTTTGGTTTTCTCTCCAAACTTCTTTGACACCTTCCACTGCCACATCTGCCTTTCTGTCCTTGACACACATGCACAGTAGTGGTAACTGGGGTAGGCCGTGGACGTCACAAGACATTATACAGACAGGCTCTGGTATCATGGCTACTCGGCAACGGAGCTCAAAAGTGTGGGATCATTTTAAGAAAATGAAAGAGAAACCTGTGCAATATCTGCAAGGTAGAACTTGCCTTCCACAGCAATTATTTTTAGTTAGCATATAGCTAAAATCTAATAGCAGCTGCATTCTGGCRCGATAACCTGTATGTTTTCTATTCAATTAACATATGATCCGATTAGTCGATTATAAAAATAATCATTTGTGGCAGCCCTACCAATCACTAAACAAATGCTTAGAATAGATAAATGTGTGGATGTGCCAAAACTTTCTCCAGCTGAACAGAAACAAAACTGAATTTATTATCTTTGGACCTAAAGAGGAACAATCTATAGTCAATGCACAGCTTCAGTTGCTACAGCTGGAACCTTGCAGTCAGGCCCGAAATCTGGGTGTGGTGATGGACTCTGACCTGAACCTTCACAGCCACATAAAGACAATTACAAAGTCAGCCTTCTAGCACCTGAAGAACACGTCCAGGAATAGAGGACTAATGTCTCGGCAAGATTTAGAGAAACTCATCTATGTGTTTATCTTTAGTCACATTGATTACTGCAACAGTGTCTTCACAGGTCTGCCTAAAAAAATCCATCAGACAGCTGCAGCTGATCCAGAACACTGCTGCTCGTGTTCTGACTAAAACCAGGAAGATAGAGCACATCTTACACCGGCTCCCTGTAACTCAGAGAATAGACTTAAAAATACTGTTATTAGTTTATAAATCACTTAACGGCTTAGCACCACAATACATTAAAGTTATGCAGTTGTGGTATCAACCTTCCAGACCTCTCAGGTCTTCTGGTTCAGGGGCCTCACCTATAAACGGTGCATAATATAAAAAAGTTGCATGCGCCAGGTTCTACGCCCATGTTGTGATTAGGGTTGGGCAATATTGGCAAAAAAATTAATCACGATTAATTGGGGGTATTTAGCCGATAACGATTAATTTGACGATTAATCCCCTGGACACCCTTATGTCCTGGTCACATGACCAATTTAGTGGGAAAGATTTGGTCTTTGTAAAAAAAAAAATTCAAAATTGTGTGAAAATTACAGATTTCAGGATATGCATCATATTTTGAATTGTATTGATAGATAAATAAATTACAGAATTTTATTTTTAATGTTTGTCCTATTTGAAGTGGAGAGGAGCAACAAGCAGACTGACCAGAGTAATCCCCAGTCAGTCTGCCTGGTGGCATTAATCATATTAATCGTCAAGTGCCAAAAAGTAATCGATTAATGTTTTTCTGACGATTAAATGCACACGATACGATAATGCCCAACCCTAGTTGTGATGTATCAAAACCAGCACTGCGTGCCAAATTTCACCTGCCGTGAGAATGTGCGGCAGCCACGCAAAGTTTTTCAGTCGACAGTTTTAACCCACAAAGTCATGAATCTGTCCTGAATCCACAGAATTATGACTCTGTTGTGTTTTCTGGATATAAGGAGCGTCTGAACACGGGGTTAGATTTTTATTTTAGTTTATGTTTTTATTTTTTAAACTCAAACAATCATGAAACTGAACCCCAGGACTGAAAATGTATTTTCATTTAACCTCAGACAAGATAATAGAGCAGTCTAAAACTGATCAACGAACCTCAGTCCAGTCCACTGTAACTGTAAAGTTTTTATATTTCTTTCACGTGGAAACACACGCGGAGCGCAGCTGGCGGAGCGAGGAGAATAAAATGTGTGTGGTGAATTGTCTAAGAAACATTTTAATTCTGAGAAAAAAACATGGTCAACTCAGCAGATTAATTCAGAACAGTTCAGCTGTGATGATTCCTCAGCCCCACAAGACGCAGACAATAGATTAGTTGCTGCGTAAATTTGTGGAACAATGTCAGCTGTTCTGCAGGTTGATATCACCACAAGAAGAATTGAGGACAGCGTGTATTTTTATTCATGTATTTTTTTGTCACACCGAACAAATTGCAATCATTTTACTGTAGTTCTGAGCAGTCATGCAGCTGAATGAAAGACTTCATAAATCAACTGCAACTCGTTTCTTCACTTCAACAATTTAATAAAATATTTTTCTAAGTTCTACCAAACTCATCAGTTCCTCTGTGTTTACAGTCATTTATTAAAGATGTGTAAAGGTGGAAATGTCTCTCAGTCTCATGCACCTCTGAAAACAGCAGCTTCACACACGCGCGTACACACACGCGCCAACACWCACACACACACCTTTGCATGTGGCAAACACATTTTTACACTCCATTACTTATTTAGACAGTTTTCTCACTCATTCTCCATTTAATGTATAATTCGCCTGCATCTAAAAATCATTTCTGATCCCACAGAGAGGACAATCTGAGGAGAATCTCACGTGCTGGACACATTTACATCTATTTTACATATTTAAATGGAGGCGTGTCAGGGGAGGTGTCTCAGGTGCGCTCAGTTCCACGTTCGTTGGGATGTATAAAGGAAAGGTGCGCACGAACCTGCGTGCGCACGGTTTTATTCATCTGAATTTTTTGGTGCGGTGAACTTTTCTAAATTTATCCATACGTCAACTTTTAGTGTAAAAGCTGCACAATCCTTTATGCATGAGACCCCTGGTCTGCTCTGCATCCCCAGAACCAGAACCAGACATAGAGAAGCAGCGTTCAGCTTCTATGCACCGCAAATCTGGAACAAACTCCCAGAAAATTGTAAAACTGCTGAAACACTGAGTTCCTTTAAATCAACATTGAAAACCCAACAGTTTGCTGATGGAGCATAAATGAAACATTAATCAACATTTTGATGTGTAACGACTGCACTTGACAAACTGCAATGTTTTAATTGTTAACCGTGTGTTCTATGACTTTATATTTTTTGTTTTTATGATGTAAAGCACTTTGAACTGCCTTGTTGCTGAAATGTGCTATACAAAAGATTGATTGATTGATTGATTGATTACAAAGAGTACGTCATGGCTTGATATGGGATGACTATATTATGTTGCTTCATAATTGTGAATTCAAATGTGTCATGGCTTCTGTCAGATAAGAATGTTCCATTTTGATTACTGAATTAGTCACTTAATCCATCTATTAACAAATCAAGGAAACCGTGGCAAATTTATAAATGTATATAAATTTGCCATGAGTATAACAGAGCATCTGCAGAAGATATATCTTCTGCAGATGCTCTGTTATACTCATGATCTGCTATAGCATTAATTCCTTTATTTCCTATTACTCCTTTTTAAATAAATCACCACAAAAGATTGTTTCATTCTTGAGTCCACCACTGTTTCATTAAATTCACCATACCAGCTATCAGAACAACAGATGGAAATTGTACAATGTTCTGAATGAACCACAACCCTTTACTAAAAAACACTAAAGACCTAGAAAGCTTTGACAAAACGTGTACATCATCAAGTGTCATTTTTCCCTGAGATTTAAACTAAAATCATCTTGTGCTGAGAAGAGATGAAAGTATTCTTCACCAGTCGAAGCTGGCCTTGGAATGCTTGCAAAATACAGTTTAAAATTAATGTTGCAAACTACAAGGAAATTCACAAGGATAATCTTATACTGCTAGCTGACATTTGTACTGTAAGTCCTTCAGAGTGCTCACAGTTGTCTACTTGGKCTCGCTCACTATTCTCCTTCCTGCATGGTTGCCGAGTTTGTGAGGACCACCTGCTCTTGGTAGATTTACACATGTCCCGTAATCTTTCCACAGTGATGGATTTAATCGAAGCCCTGAGTTGTTCAGGACCTTGGAAATCTTTTTGTATCTACTTCCTGATTTGACTTGACTACATTTTTTAAAGCTTTTTTCTGAGTTAAATTAGGACAGTTGGTTTAAAGGAAATGAATCTATTTCACTTATTCCACATACATGTTTATTCAATTGGCACYCCTCATTAAAAGTTTGATTCCTCTTTGTCACTGAAGAGTTGTTGTTGTTTTTTAAATTAGTTTGTTTATGTATTTATTGTGAGAAGAAAGCTGATTTATATTGACCATGACTAATATACAACAGCAATAATAATTGGTTTATTGGATCACTAACCTGTGTATTTGTCAATGGCTGTGAGGTTGTCTGAATGGGACAGCAGACAGTGCCAGGAGCCCGGTGTATCTTGGCCCAGACCGCATTGAGCCCAGTGGAACTCAAAAGCCAGCGGCCTCTGCCACAGTGTATCTCCATCAGTGCCGTCCACCGCCAACAGAAACAGGCACGGCGAAGTCAGGTCTGGAACATAATTGGACTTTATCTGATTTATACTAAAACACAGACAAGTCGGTCACTTTTGTTTTTCTTGGTAAATAAATTTAAATAACAGTTTCATACTTGCGTCGGCACACGATTTGTTCTGTGTGCCATTTGTGTTTCTCAGAACAAAAAGGACATCTATCACTTTGTCCTTGCTTGCATGTTCAAAAGCCAGGAAGTCATAGGTGGCTGCGAGAGAAAATGATAAAGAGGTAGTAAGTCTCCCTTTTAGGATGATGTAAAACAAAACAGAGTAAAGCAAAGAATACACACCCGCTTCAGAAAAAGTCCTGTTCCAGGTAATGAGATATTGTGCTCTGACAGGACAGGGGATGATGAAGGAGAAGGCAAACACAATGGTGAGGCAGATGAACAAGGAAAGGAAGAAGACTGCCGTCCTCCAGTGAGACATTCTGGTACAACCCAAGCCTTCTTTACATTTCTTCTTTTTGAGCTCTGTTGCTGAAGGTGCTGTGGCATCTCCTCCTCTCTTCAGAGGGTCGCTCTCATTAACGTGATCTGCAGTATCCATCGCTGTCTCCTTAATTCATTGCTGGCTTTACAGACCTGTTTACAAAAAAAAAGACTTTACAGCAAAACCATACTTCTACAACATATTAGCCATAAATACAGGTATTTTAATGCAGTGTGGCTACTCCCACGGTGACACACTGCATATATATTTTATATCTGTAATCCAGGTGTAAAATGGATTAGAAACCCACATGAAGAAATAAAACTAGGCAAAACTCCCTGGCGATCAAACGACTAAGTACACGAAACTACTGGAGGCTGCAGTATTTGTCAGCTCTTTCTGCAGCATCAACCTTTGTGGATCTGTGCTTATTCAGACGTGCCAGCTCTGGTTCCAGAAATTTCTCAGCATAAAAACAAACAAAAGAGACCGTTATTAACCTGTGCCAAGAAAGCACACCCTGTCATTACCTCAATAACTCCCCCAAGGTTTAGTTACTCACAAATAAATCCAAACAAAATATATAAGTTACATGAACAAAGCAAGCAAATTCAGTCAAAATTAATTTGCATTTTATTCTAACTGTGTTATATTTGTCTAATTCCTGTTAACGAAAATAGGGTAATGTTCAAAAACTGCTAACCTGTTGAACGACACAGATACTACTGGCCTCTATGCTGGAGGGTAAAGCTGACACAATTTGTGTGTCGAGACTAAACTCCAACATTTGAGTCAAACATGACAGCAAAAAAGTTTAGAGGATAAAGCAAATTTTAAAAAAGTTTTACTTACTATAACTCCCCGCTGACACTTTCCGCAGTCACTAGAGTTATTAAGCAGCAGCCAGCAGGTCTAACAAACTTGCTGGTGGTAAACACAACTGCTGACAAGTTCGAATAGATTCAGACTACATGACCTGCATTTTGTCTGACAGGTAGTTTTAGATTTTAAATATTTAATATCAGAAAATATAACCAAACACCCAAATTACAATAATTTTAAAAATAAGTAATTGTATTCCGATTTAAAAATTGTACCTTAAACAAGGGCGCTGCCTGGATGACAGGCAGCGTACAGTCACAACCTGAAAGCCTTTACTTGGGAAATAAAAAACTCATTTTATATCGTCGCTGTGATTGGCTGGGTCTCTTGTCTTCTGGCATTATGATTGGCCGAATTCACATTTGCGGCYGCATCAAACATCTAACGTCATTTCCTTAGTATCAACCGGAAACTGGCCAGTTGACAAAATAGCGAGAAGGTTTGAGTGGCGATGGTGTAATGATTAAATTATTTAAAAACCTCTGAAAATAATCCGAGAAATTGTTTGCAGTTGCTTGATCACACAGAGAACTATCAACGGAACACCTACGACAATGTCTGCCCAAGCTCAAATGAGAGCTTTGCTCGACCAGCTGATGGGAACAGCAAGGGATGGTGAGTCGCCGAGAGATGCTAACTGAACTAGCGAGCTAGCCAAGATGGAGGATCTGCTGAGGCTGGCTTGTGGTTGTCGTGTGATGAACAGAGCTGCATGAATAAATGTACTGCAAAGGGCTGTCTAAAATAGAGTAAAGATGGATTCAAGTTTTAATGTAATTACTGAAAGTAACAGTTAATGTTTCCATCTGCAGTGGCAATTTTAAACTGAATCAGGTTTTCCATTTTTCGTCTTTAGCATTTTGGCTAACTTAGCTTATGCTCGCGTAGTGGTTTTTGAGACAATAAAGCAGAACTTGAAGTTAGTTTTATCCCCTATGGTTTCTGAACTACTTTAAAATGCAAAGCAGACTGATCAGTCCTGGAATGAAGTATCCCACACCAGACACACCCCAAAGTGATCAGTCAAACTATGATATTTCGGCATTTATTCCCTTATGGTTTTAGGGGAGGGGCTTAATCCCCTTCCGGTTCAAAATTCACAAATCTATCAGTCTGTCACACTGAATACAAATTCTCAACTATTTTTATTTATAGAAAAAAATGTCAACAATTCAAATGCACCTTATTTAAACAGCATAATCAGTRTGAATTAGATTTGCTTTATAATCTCACTCTCATGCATGACCAGTTATCTACTTTTCATGGAGCTCAATTGTTGGTGTATTATTAGTTTTATTAGTTTTGTGCAGATACGTCCACTTTATATATTGTATGGTTTGTTTCATAACACGTYTTAACATGAGCTGACCCTGTGCTATAATCTAATGAATGCATTTTGATCAGCATATATGCAAATAAGTTTAGGCGCATATGTGTAACTTAGCTGATTATATGAGTTGTCCCATTCTTTTCGACTTAGTTTTTTTTTTTTTAATAATTTACCTTTTAGTAATAAAATAATGGCTTTTTAATTATTTTGGAGAAAAAAATCAGCCATAAAGATGGTAACATTAAATTACACATTTTTTATAACGTCTAGTTGTGAGTTGAAAATGGCCTTTAATAGCTGCCCTACGAGTTTATTAACAAAACTTCCATTGTGGCAGTAGTGTGAATTTAATTGCAGCCCTGTTGATCTTTTAACAAGCTGCTAAGTCCATCTGTTCAATGAGAGTGAATTTGTGTTGTGAGTCTGTGGGTGTATGTGTAAWAAGATTGATATCAAATTCTTCCCATACATTTGTTGCATACAAACTGAACAATTGTGGCCCCTTTATTTTATTCATTAAGGTTCAGTGTATCATTGCCAGCCTACATCAATCTGCAAAGGAGTTGCAGAAAAGCCTCATGTTCATCGAGCCGTGAGTCACATAATTTTTAAAGCTGTTATGATTAATATCCAAACAATCTGTTTGCCTTCCGGAAGTTATTGTAGATATTTATTTGAAATAATGCAAATAAATACACAAGAAGGTAACTCTCCAGTGGCAGTAGAAATACAATTTGGAGTAGTTTTACATATCTTGAGCTAAGACGTCTAGTCGCGCTGTGTCCACACAAGCAGCTCTCAGTTTTCTGCACATATTACTGGTCTGTTTAGCAGTCCACACAAAAACTTTGCTAGCATCATTTACGATTTGACCTGTGTATGACTCCCAACTTCTTACTACAGGTATGGGCAAGAAAACTGTTCCCATTTATACTTTTCCACAGCGGGTTTAAAATTCTGCAGCTGAGGGCTTGAAGATGCAGAAGGGTACAGTATGTGGTGCAGATCGCAGTGTGTATAAACATGTTTTTTTCCCCCCCTTCGAATTATTTTGCTTTAAATGTCTTTTCAGTGTTTGTATTTATACATGACTTGATGAGGACATCTGTATGAATGTGATGCTTTTCTTTTAATAGTTGTAATAACCATGTTTTCTGCATAGCCAACAACAGTGTAGTTACCAGTAAACTGTTGACATTATGTTGCACCCTTACTAGCTGTCATTTAATGCTCCACATTTCAYGGTAAACATTAAACATTTGAACAGGTTAACTCAAACTAAAGCTCTTATGTTTTTATTGAGGCTTGAAGGTAAGAACCAATAACATCAAATAACACAAATATATTGTGCTACACTTTTTACTTCAGCAACATTATTGAAGTATCTGATAACAGTCCAGTAGGAGCAGTTATTCATATCAAGGAAACGTTTTTGAATATATTTTTAAAACATATTAAATAGTTTTTTAATCCTGCAGTTGGACTAAAATCTTTGAGTCCTGTTTCATTGATACATTTTGTCGTTACATTGATGTGTGTTAAAGCTCTGGATACCCCACACTTTCTGTCAAGTAGGTCTTTCTCACTGTTGCTTTCTTGGACTTTTTCAGGAGATGAGACGCGGCAGAGGGTCAAGTTCACGGATGATCGAGTCTGTAAAAGTCACCTTCTCAACTGCTGTCCTCACGACATCCTGTCTGGAACTGTAAGTAAATGTGTTATGTATCAGTGCATGTTCCCATGTAATGACAAAATGTGTGCTCTGCATTTCACCCATCGCCTCTGAGATGCTTCCAAGTGGAGCAGCTAAGCGACTGGGGATCATTTAGGGATTAGATGTCTTGCTCGAGGACACAGCGGGGAATCAAACTTGTGACTTTCTGGTCCCAAGTTGACTGTCCTACCACTACACTATACTAGGGTGGTATGACCTCAAATTCAAAGCACGGTATAAATTGAATCCCTTCATGGTAACGGTATATATCGCGGTAGAAAATTATCATAAAAAGTTAAAATAATGTGATTTTGAGAGGATTTTTTTGCAGAAAGCTGTTATCTTAATTAAACCCAGCAATTTTGCTTTAATATCTGCCTGCCATACAATGAGCTTCCACCTGCTGAACTTATCAGCTGCTGCTCTGCTGCGCGCTCATCTTCATCATCAGAGCAGAAGCCGACTTTACATTAGCAAGATGGATTTACAACTGAACGAATATCCACGTTTTTTTTAAAAATAATCTCTGTAGGTAAACAATACATAAAAAATGTTTTTATTCTCCGACGATTGGGTGTGAAAAGACTACAGTTGTTAAAGCTTCGCTCTGCGCGACGTGCAGCGGGAGGGAGGGAGAGATTATGATCCCGCGACACGACGTAATTTTCTACAGCGGCAGGTGGAAATTTTGAGGATTTACTCTCTCTATACGTGTTTTAAAATGCTAGAATTTCTTCATTATATTTTTGAACTCCTGCTCCATTTTCACTGCACTCGCAGCCCTGCTGACACGGGTGCAATGATGTAATGATGATAGGATGGTAGAGGGTAAATTTCTACCATAGGCCAACTTCATACCGTTTCTACCGTCTACTGCGTATACCGCGCAGCCCTACACAATACATAAAATGTTAACTGCTAAAAACAATTGTTTCCTTACTATGTTAAATTTCCTTTTGAAATCTCAACAATAGCAAACAAAAAAACCCATCAAGGATCACTAAGAAAATTCTTAATCTTTCTTTGTTTGTGTTTTTAATGTTTGACTCATGTCTGGCTGTGTTTGACAGCGTATGGACCTGGGGGAATGCACAAAGATTCATGACCTGGCACTTCGGGCAGATTACGAAATTGCTTCCAAGGAGAGAGATCTTTTCTTTGAACTAGATGTAAGTGATGYTATTTTCTTAATGATCATAAAAGTTTCACCTTACTGGATGAAGTAATCGTATGCTTAAACCTCACGGTTGTTATCTCAGCTCATAACTTAAACTTCTCATAAGAAGGGTCAGTTTAAAAAGGTGTTTAAATGTCCCCACAAGGTTTTGCACATCTACAAAATTAAATAAGGCGTGCAGTTTGGTTTATCTGTTGTTTGTCCTCATCTCTAAAGGCGGTGGATCACCTGGAGTCCTTCATAGCTGACTGTGACAGAAGAACAGAACTAGCCAAGAAGCGTCTGGCTGAGACCCAGGAAGAGATCAGCGCAGAGGTGTCAGCAAAGGTAAATGACAGGATTTACAAATTGTCTGAATCATTTGGTTTTCCTTTTTATACAGTAACTGTTTTCCTCTGTATGTTTGCTGGGTTGGTTGATATTTTAGGCAGAGAAGGTGCATGAGCTGAATGAAGAAATAGGTAAGCTTCTGGCCAAGGCTGAGCAGCTTGGAGCAGAAGGGAATGTGGACGAGGCTCAGAAGGTCTTACAGGAAGTGGAGAAAGTCCGTACCAAGAAAAAGGATGCAGAGGTGAGTTAAAAGACATTTGAAGTCATTTTGCACTATATAAGTACTGTATTTATTCATGTATAATACGATCTCGAGTATAATAAGATCATCATTTTTTTAGCTTAAAAAGCATTAAAAATTGAATTATCAATAACCCATGTATAATACTACTCCCCCACTTTATGGATGATTTTTAGGGTTAAATTTCTAGTATTATACATGAATAAATACAGTGTGTCCTTATTTAGTTATTAAAGGGATCCATGATTAGTTGTAACATTAGACTTTATTTGATAAACTTGTATTTTAACTGTAAAATAAAGAC